GGGAAGGTAGCAGGATAACACAGACCGATGTGGGTCAACAGGGTTATCTTCAGTTTTGGACTTTCTTTGGGCACATGGCCATGGAAACTATCGTTATCACTGCTGAATGTCAAAATACACTGCAGGTTGAGTCTCTCTTATCCAAAAGGTTTGAGACCAAAAGTATTTTGAATTGTTTTGGATTTTGGGATTTCCTGTATTTGCATATACATGCATAATGAGATATCTTGGAGATGGGACCCAAGTTTCATCGCAAAATCAATTTGTTTCTACACAATGTGTTATCAAAGGCTTTCATGATTGGAATCACAGGGTTGCTGTGAGTTTTCCAGGCTGTATGGCCATGTTCCAGAAGCATTCTCTCCTGACATTCCACCCACATCTCTGGCAGGTATCTTCAGAGGTTGTGAGGTCTGTTGGAAACTAGGTAAGTGAGGCTTATATATCTGTGGAATGTCCAGTGTGGGAAAAAGAACTCTTGTCTGTTGGAGGCAAGTGTGAATGCTGCAATTTGCCACTTTGATTAGCATTGAATGGCCTTACAGCTTCAAAGCTTGACTGTTTCCTGCCTGGGGGAATCCTGTGTTGGGGGTGATTAGCTGGCACTGATTGTTTCTTGTCTGGAATTCCCCCCTTTTTTAGAGTTATTCTTGATTTTAGAGGGTGTTTTAAAAAAAGACTGGCAACCAGATTTTGTTCGTTTTCATGGTTTCCTCCTTTCTGTCGAAATTGTCCACATGCTTGTGGATTTCAATGGCTTCTCTGTGTAGTCTGACATGGTAGTTGTTACAGCTGTCAAGCATTTCTGTGTACTCAAATAATATGCTATGTCCAGGTTGATTCATCAGGTGCTCTGCTATGGCTGACTTCTCAAGCTGAATTAGTCTGCAGTGCCTTTCATGTTCCTTGTTTCGTGTTTGGGCATAGCTGCGTTTGGTGGTCCCTATGAAGACCCTATGTTTACACACAGCTTGATGTCACACACATAGCTTGAAGGTAGTTTTATGATGTTTTAAATCATTTTTGCATGAAATAAAGATGGTGTACACTAAACTATCAGAAAGTAAAGTATATGAAACCATCGGCCATCAATGTCTGTTTTGAAGTGTTTGAGAATTTTGGGTAAGGGAGGCTCAACCTGTCATCACTGGACCTGTGAGTTCCCGTCCTGAATGGTATGATCATCAAGCTGTAATGCAGTAATAAAGAGGAAACAAGAGCCCTCTAGAACATAAGGCATCTAATAAACCATGAGTCCTAAGCAAATGCAAACATAAAAAGGCAGACTTATATGCTGTGTGGTTTCAGAGGAAACCTGCAAATTATAGTTCTCACTTGAACCATTTTTATTTTACCTCCTAAACTGATGGAGAAGTAAAGTAACTGTACAAAAAACCACATATTATAAGTTTCTGAGAACATGCACTGCATCTGAACTTTACACACCGGTTATTTAGCCCAAGCAGTAATCAATTAATCTTTCCGGTTCAGCTGGTTTTTTTTAAAGAGATAAGGTCACAGCTGTTACTGCCATCCTACATGTTTTGGTGAAACTTGAATGAACCGCGACACCAATATACTTTAAGGAGAAAAATCTAAACAAAATTGGAAACAGCCAAAACAATTAACCAGGAAAATCAAGAAATCCACTCTTTTAAAACAAATCTCCAATACTATATATCTCCAGGTATATTTAGAAGATGCGTGTGTGCACATAAGTGTCTTCAAATTCACCCATACATTTTTGCAGTATTTATTTTACTCAGATGCCACCTTTCCACTTGCACAGAATCAAAAGGTTATCTAAGGTAAGGAATATCCAGTGGTGGTTTACCATTGTCTTCCTCTGAAATGTACCCTATAAAATCTCATATTGGGTTGCTGTGAGTTTTCCGGGCTGTATGGAGATGTTCCAGAAGTATTTTCTCCTGACATCACCAATGAGGATGCCTGCCATAGATGTGGGTGAAACGTCAGGAGAGAATGCTTCTGGAACATGGCCATACAGCCCGGAAAACTCACAGCAACCCAGTGATTCTGGCCATGAAAGGCTTTGACAACACAAATCTCATATTCCTTGACAGTTTCCCTTTCCAAATACTAACCAGACCTAACTCTCCCAAGATCATTTGGGATTTGGTACCTTCAAGATATTTAGGCTTCACGCTAGAGGAAGATGTGCTTCCTCTCAAAAACTTAAATAAATCATTCAAATTGATCTCTCCAGTTTAAGCATCTGTGTCTCACCACACAACATAATACAGCTGGGATTACAACACTATACAGTATCTGTTAAGCTTGCCTGAGTGCGCATACATGATGTCAGGTGCACCATGAATGGCAGCGCTCCAGATGGTTTGCAGACAAAAGCTTTGAAACAGAACTGCCACCTTATTTTGAGCCAGATCCACATGCACTTCTGGAACGAAACTGAGTTCAGCTTCTGAAACTGTTCTTTGAATTGTTGTGTTTTCAAGTCAAGATCCTGAAATGCAGAGTTTTCTTGACATCATTTCCTTCTGAGGATGAGAGAGTGTGACTTGCCCAAATTCACCCAGTTGGTTTTCATGGCTGAAAGGGGATTCAAACCCTGGACTCTAGAGATCTAATCCAAATCTCAAAAGGATCAGGGGCCCTTACACACAGCCCTATATCCCAGAATATCAAGGCAAAAAATCCCACAATATCTGCTTTGAACTGGGTTATCTGAGTCCACATTGCCATATATCCCAGTTCAAAACAGATAATGTGATTTTATTCAGCTGTGTGGAAGGAGCCTAGGACAAGCTTAAGTGGCTTCCCTACTCTAGGGCTTCCTCTCCCCAACGAAGAAACAAGCGGCTCTCTAACTTCACCACAAGGCAGCCAGTTCAAACCATTCAGCAAACTTGGCACAAAAGATGAAGACGCAAGTCACAGGAGATGCCCGTGACTGTTCTGCAAAAGGGAGGACATTTCCTGGACATGGGAACCTCAAAGTGCAACATTTGCAGTTTCCAAGCAAAGCCTGCCTGGCAGGAGGGACACTGTGCAGCGGTCAGAAACCGCTCTGTTTAAAATACAGCACTGCCTTGTTATGCATCACGGGAGTTGTAGTGTTGCAAGGTTTCTACGCTTCCCAGCCAAATAGTGCTAAGTGCCTCACCAAACTACAAACCCCAGGATTTCACTGCATTGAGCCACTGCATTTAAGTGGTACCTGACAATTACTATTATTATTTACTACTTACTATTATTTACTATATTTACTATTACTTACTATTTACTATTATTATTTATTTATACCCAGCTTCATCTCTCTCAAAGAAGTCTCTACAGCAGGCCTGGGCGAACTTGGGCCCTCCAGGTGTTTTGGACTTCAACTCCCAGAATTCCTAACAGCCTCAGGCCCCTTCCTTTCCCCCCTCAGCCACTTAAGCCTGAGGCCTGAGACTGTTAGGAATTGTGGGAGTTTAAGTCCAAAACACCTGGAGGGCCAAAGTTTGCCCATGCTCGCTCTACAGTCTAAATCAATCAGTCCCAACCTTTAGTCCTCAAACTGCTTGGGACTTCAACTCCCAGAATGCCCAGCCAGCTCGGCCAACTGCTAGTCGTTCTGGAGCTGAAGTCCAAAATACCTGCTGAAGACCAAATCACTGGTCTAGATCTGTGATTCCTGATATTTGATCCTTGGGGTTTTTTGGGACTTCAAGTCCCAGAAGTTCCAGGCAGTTTGGTCAACTGCCTGGGATTCTGGAAGCTGAAGTCCCAAACACTGGGAAAACCAACATTTTGGGAATCACTGGTCTAGATGCATCTGGAGAGCCAGTGCAGCACAGTGGTTTGGATGCTGGACTACAGGTGCATCTATGGTGCAGTTACTATACTCCCAACTCAAGAACGGGAAACGTAACATTGGTGGACAGGAAAAGAGATTTAAAGATGGGCTTAACGCCAACCTTAAAAACTGTGGCATAGACACCGAGAACTGGGAAGCCCTGGCCCATAAGTGCTCTAACTGGAGGTCAGCTGTAATCAGCAGTGCTGCAGAATTTGAAGAGGGACAAATGGAAGGCAAAAGGGAGAAACATGCCAAGAGGAAGGTGTGTCAAGCTAACCTGACCAGGACTGCCATCCACCTGGAAACCGATGTTCTCACTGCGGGAGAACATGTGAATCAAGAATAGGGCTCCACAGTCACCTACGGACCCACTGTCAAGACACCAGACTTGGAGGACCATCATCCTTGGGCTACGAAGGATCACCTAAGTAAAATACAGGTGCATCTACACTACAGAAACAATGCAGCTCAACACCATTGTAACTGGCATGGCTCTATGCAATACAATCATGAGACAACTGTAGTTTTCCAAACCCTTCTCCACCCAAGAGTGCTGGTGCCTTGCTAAAGTACAACTCCCAGGATTCCATAGTACTGAGCCTTGGCAATGTTGAAGAATAACAACGAGGGGGCAGCAACCCTAGGAGGCCAGATTTAACATATTACTTCGGGTGTGTTTACACTGTAGAATGAATGCAGTTTGATGCCACTTTAACTGCCACTGCTCAAAGCTATGGAATCCTGCGAGTTGTAGTTTGGTGAGGCAACAGTTCTCTTGGGCAGAGGAAGCGCAAGTCCTTGTCAAATTACAACTCCCAGGATTCCATACTACTGAGTCACAGCAGTGGTATAAAACTGCATTAATTCTACAGTGTAGACGCACTGCACTATCAACCAGGGATGGGAAGGGCGTGCTCAGCCCAAATTAGGTTAAAGCGAGGAAGGGACGCTAGCAAGAAGCCAGGAAGGAAGGAAGGGAAGACAAGAGGGCGCAAAGGCTCTCCAAGCTCTTAGGGGCTTGCAAGTCTGACCCACAAGGATGCAACTCTCCTATGAAAGCACAGATGCAACACTCCTCTCATACACAGAGATCAGGTAGGCATAGACACACATAAATACAGATACACGCACGCACGCCCCTCCTCTTCCCTTCCCCAGCCTGTGTATAGTGGTGACTCACCCAGCCCGAGGGAAGCCCCTGCCTGCCTCCCAGCCTCGCCGCTCCTTTGCTCGGCGTCCCCCTCCCTCCCGTGGCCCCGCCCCCCGCGCGCCTTTATCCCCGGCCCTCGCGCACGTGACTCCCGGGCCCGGAGTGTTCTGGCCACGCCCCCTCCTCCTCCTCCCTCCTCCCTCCTCCCTCCCTCCCGTCGAGCCAGAGCCAAAGCCCAAAGGAAGCAGCTTGGAAACGCTTTTCCCCCCGTGTATTCCTCTGACTTCCCGTTAAACCTTTGCAGGGAAGCCAGGACGGCGCCAAACTTGACCGCCGTTGGTCTTGTCTCTTGCCGTTGGTCTTGTCTCTTAACTATAGAGTCAGAGATGCACTGTAGAGTCAAAGGCATTCCACACAGTGAATCGCAGCGCGCTCTGGATCATCCTCCAAAAAATCGGYTGCCSTCACAAATTTGTGAACATCCTGCGGCTCCTCCATGATGGCAACAGTCTTGGATAGCAAGGGCTCCCACAGTGACCCATTTAAGGTGGAATCAGGTGTCAAACAGGGATGTGTTATTGCCCCAACTTTATTCTCCATCTTCATCACTATGCTACTTCATCTTATTGATGGGAAGCTTCTCACCGGAGTGGAAATCATCTATCGGACAGATGGCAAGCTGTTTAACCTCAGGAGACTGAAAGCCAAACCAAGGTTACAACAACATCTGGGCCTTCTCTGTAGTGGCTCCTCGACTCTGGAACTCACTCCCCAAGGATATCAGGCAGGCCTCGACGTTGGCGGTCTTTAGGAGGAGCTTGAAAACGTGGCTGCTTCAGTGTGCCTTCCCAGAATAGGAAACTACAAGCACTTTGTCCCAAATGCAATTTACTAGAGATTTAGGTCTGTCCGCATGCCCTACCTATTCGCCAAAATACCTATCCATTTTACCCGGTCATGCCCAGCTTTTTAAAATTTTAACCATTACATCTGGCCCTGACATTGGTTTTAATTGTGTCATGTTTATTGTTAATGTTTACTGTTTGATTTTTATTTACTGCTGTATTGTTGTTGTCTCTTATTGTTGTATTGGTCTCGGCCTATTGTAAGCCGCACCGAGTCCTTTGGGAGATGGTAGCAGGGTATAAATAAAGGTTTATTATTATTATGGAACTCCAGTATGCCAGTGATAATGTAGTCTATGCGCATTCAGAAGACCTGCAAGCCACTCCAAACACCTTTGCAGAAGCATACGAGAAGCTCGGCCTGTCACTGAACATCGAGAAAACCAATGTGCTCTTCCAGAAGTCACCAGCCAACCCCTCTCCAATGCCAGAGATACAGCTTAATGGTGTAACATTAGAAAATGTTGACCATTTCCGCTACCTTGGCAGCCACCTCTCCACCAAAGTCAATATTGACACTGAAATACAACACCGCCTGAGCTCTGCAAGTGCAGCATTTTTCTGAATGAAGCAGAGAGTGTTTGAGGACCGGGACATCCATAGGAATACCAAGGTGCTTGTTTATAAAGCTATTGTCCTCCCAACCCTGCTATACGCCTGCGAAACATGGACTGTCTACAGACGTCACATTCAACTCCTGGAACGATTCCAGCAGTGCTGCCTCCGGAAAATCCTGCATATCTCTTGGGAAGACAAGCAGACAAATGTCAACGTGCTGGAAGAAGCAAAGACCATCAGCATTGAAGCGGTGGTCCTCTGCCATCAACTCCACTGGACCGGCCATGTTGTCTGGCTGCCCAACCACTGTCCCCAAAGCAATTGCTCTACTCCAAACTCAAGAACGGAAAACAGAACATTGAAGGACAGGAAAAAAGATTTAAAGATGGGCTCAATGCCAACCTTAAAAACTCTGGCATAGATACTGAGAACTGGGAAACCTGGCCCTTGAGTGTTCCAGCTGGAGGTCAGCTGTGACCAGCAGTGCTGTAGAATTTGAAGAGGCACGAATGGAGGGCGTAAGAGAGAAATGTGCCAAAAGGAAGGTGCGTCAAGACAACCCCAACCGGGACTGCCTTCTACCTGGAAACCAATGCCCTCACTGCAGGAGAAGATGCAGATCAAGAATAGGACTCCATAGTCACCTACGGACCCACTGCCGGTATACTGATCTTGGAAGATGCAGAGCCAACCTTAAGAAATGGGACTACAAAGTGGAGTCCACAACATGTGAGTGAGGAGAAGAGCAAACCACAGACTACTTGCTGCAATTCAGCCTGAGCCCTGCCACATGCACAATGGAGGACCTTCTTAGAGCAACACCGGAGGCCAGATATTGGTCAAAGAACATTTAATAGAATGCCAAGTTTGCAAACTTTGTGTGTGTGTGTTTTAAAAGTACAATACAACTGTTGCCTTATGCAGCCTAAGGCCCCCTCCACACAGCTGTATAAAATCCACATTGAACTGGATTATGGTAGTGTGGACTCAGAGCCCTTCCACACAGCCTTATATTCCAGAATATCAAGGCAGAAAATCCCACATTATCTGAGTGTGGACTCAGATAACCTAGTTCAAAGCAGATATTGTGGGATTTTCTGCCTTGATATTCTGGGATATAGGGCTGTGTGGAAGGGCCCTCCGGTCATCAAAGTAGGTATTGTGGTTTATCTGCCTTGATACTCTGGGTTATATGGCTGTGTGGAAGGGCCCTATGTAGTCCTGAGATCTAAAGGCTACACTTTAGGCCCAAGTACAGCCAACTGCAATACAGTGAGTCCTTGGGGACTCTACTACAGTGCCAGATTATCCAGATTATTAAAGCAGATAGTCTACATTATCTGCTTTGAACTTTATTATATGAGTCTACACTGTCAGATAATGCAATTCAAATCAGACAATCTGGATTTTATATGGCAGTGTAGAAGGGGCCTGACTGCATGTATAAAAGGTAAGGGTAAAGGTTTCCCGTTGACATTAAATCTAATCATGTCTGACTCTGAGGGGTGGTGCTCATCTCCATTTCTAAACCGAAGAGCTGGCATTGTCTGTAGACACCTCCAAGGTCATGTGGCCAGCATGACTGCATAGAGCGCCGTTACCTTCCGGCAGAAGCAGTACCTATTGATCTACTCACATTTGCATGTTTTCGAACTGCTAGGTTGGCAGAAGCTGGGGCTAACAGCAGGAGCTCACCCCACTCCTAGAGTCAAACTGCCAGCCTTTTGGTCAGCAAATTCAGCAACTCAGCAGTTTAACCTGCTACACTAGCAGGGGGCCTTACAGCAAACATCTGCACCAACAAAAAAGTTATTGGAAAACAGCTGTCAAAGTGATTGTTTTCCATTTGCTTAAATAATACAATTGTGAGACAGCAAGCTGGTATGGTGGTGATGATGATGATGATAACATTTATTATCTGCTTCTCCTTGCGTCTTGAGACATGATACAAAAGGGTTAAAGCTTTGAGTGTGCATAAATAGAATTTGGGTGCAAGAATTAGGACCATTTCACAACAGATAATTACAGTGCTTTGATTCCTGGGGTTTGAAGTTTCATTAGAATTATTTACTACAGCACTAAAGTGGTATCAAGTTACTATGTAGCATGAAACCACCCCCTCCCCCCTTTTCCTGTAAGAGGTTGTAGCAAACTTGTAAACTGGGCAAAGGATAAACATCTGAGCAATTACTAGTTTAAGCAAAAACAATGGTTATTTAGAGCCTTAAAAGATAACTGATATGTTATTACAACACACTTGTGGCCTAGATGTTTCAAGTGAGACATTTTTCAAGCATATTTTTGAGTAAAATCCAGAATCGCATTACAGGTGGATGGATTAAATCAAGAAAACAACATCTGAGAAGTTGGGGAAAGGACTGTCAGTTATCAATCTTCTTGGAGGTCTCTCATTCATAGGGTTATTTTACATCAAAGCCAATCTTGGGCCCCTTCTACACTGCCATATAATCAAGATTATCAAAGCAGATAATCCACATTATCACCTCTGAACTGGATTATATGAGGCCCCTTCTACATTGCCATATAATCCAGAGACCGTCCACACAGCTGTATAACCCAAAATATCAAGGCAGAAAATCCCACAATATTTGCTTTGAACTGGGTTATTTGGGTCCGCACTGCCATACATTCCAACTCAAAGCAGAAAATGTGGGACTTTATTCAGCTATGTGGAAGGGGCCCCAGATGATCAAAGTAGATAATCCACATCTGCTTTGAACTGGATTATATGAATCTACATTGCCCTATAATCCAGTTCAAAGCAGATAGTTTGGATTTTATATGGCAGTGTAGAAGGGGCCTTGATGGCGACCATCAACAAACCACACACACCAGAAGCGACTTGCAGTTTTTCAAGTTGCTCCTGACACACACACACACACACACACACACACACACACACAAAAGCAACAAAACAACAAACAACAAACCAGAACTTCAGCAAAACTTTGTAAGCATTCTAGGATGGGAAATGGAGCTACAGGGTAAGATATTTTCAGTTGCTTATCATAGTTGCATCATATGCAACATTTTGGTTTCTTTGACTTTGGGAAAGGGCATTTACTCCAAAATAGCAATTAGTATCCCTTTATGCTAATAACATTCTTATATTAACTTGCACATAAAGCTGTTTGTCATATCATGGTTAGCTCTACCCACACTATTTTGTAAAGAATATGAAATGCCTATTCCTATCTCTAGAAGTTACAATATTTTGAGCAAATATAATTTTCCTTTTGGATATCAGTAGATATATGATCAGAATTAGTTCAAGAACAACTTGATTCCCTAAGGGACTTTACACCTATAACTCTGCTCTGAAGGAAGACCTTATAAACTCACAAGATAAACTAACCAAAGAAATCTTTATGATGCAATATCAATGTACTATTTGTAAGTTTTGTTTCCCCACTATCCACAAAATCTTTCTTGAAGATGACTTGGGGAGACATAGCATGGGAAAATGTGTGTATAGAGATAATATAGATAGACTTTAATATAAAGTTACAAATGAACAGACCTTTCACTAAAACATACTTTTTTAAAATAATGGCATAAATAATAGAGATAATTGATGTTATGCTGGGAATGCTCCAAGAATAAAGACAATAATTAACAGGCAACTAAATGTACAATCTGAATTAACAGATTATTCAATATTTCTTTCTTACCAGGAATCTTTGTGATGGGTGAACACAAGGACATACATCTCAGACTAGTTGTATAATCTTGTTTCGAGTTCCTGACATGTAGTTTCTGTTCAGAAAATTCCAATCTCCTTTTATGCATATGTCATCAGTACCCATGGATAATTTTGCAATAGTTCCATGGCATTGCTAAAACTGTCAAATGGAGGAAGAGCATGTTAAAAAGCATTGCTCTAGTTGTAGGCCATAACAATGTGCCTAGATGATGAAACAAAGGAATTTTAATTCCCCAGTAGATAAAGTACTTCAAAGTAGGTGTGAAGCAATGTCTGCAAGAGTAATCTTGCATGACATGTTTAACCTGAACCAACTGTTAGGAAGCCAAGGATGTGTAAATGGCTGTTTTAAAATTGTTGGGAGATTTTTATTAGACACGTGTATTATTACAATATAGGTAGTAAAGAAAAGCTCTTAGTCCCAGAAACCGTATGAGTGGCCGTAAGTCAGAAATGACTTGAAGGTACACTGCAACAATAAATAAGAAAAAGGAGCATTGAAAAGAAGCACCATATAAAAAGCAATAAAAATAAGCGGCTATATTTACAGTTGTCTGCTGTATATGGTGCTGAGAACACCGGATGGCCATAGCATAACAAAAAACAACCAGGAGAGTGAATGTGAGAAAATTTGCAACCAAAAGCAATGTATATTTACTTTGAAACGAGACAAAGGTCAGCAAAGCTTAGTTCAGAATGTACACATAGCATTGTATGCCTAGTCCCTTTTACACTATACAGTTATAGCACTTTGATAACACTTTAACTGCCACGATAGCATTCTATGAATCTTGGGGTTTGTAGCATAGTGGGCCCTTCCACACAGTTGTATGAAACTCCACATTATCTGCTTTGAACTGGAATATATGGCACTGTGGACTCAGACAACCCAGTTCAAAGCAGATATTGTGGGATTTTCTGCCTTGATATTCTGAGTTATATGGCTGTGTGAAAGGTCCATGAGAAGCCATGAACTCTGCTTAAAAAGTTTGTAGCCCCCTGCCCTAAAGTAGTCTTTTGTCTCTCTGGATACCTATTGCATTGACTGGAGCAGAGGTATCAAGACCCATTTCAGCTCATTATCACTTGCTCCGACTAATCCCTTTCGATTGCGCCCCTTTCAGGGGTGGAGCAATAAATGGACACACTCTTCAAAATAATCCAATTAGAGTTTATTAAATTTTCCCGCCAACCAGCAATGACATTGGACGGAGCCCTGGACCAACCAGGGAGTGGATCATAGGCAGACACTCTTTTAATTAATCAGGAGCCAGAGTGGTAATCTCGAATAGCTGTCAAAATTCTATAAATATTTCTGTATGTTTACATTGAGTTCTTTGGAGTGCTGTCTCTGCTGACATCCTCTTCAGCCATAGAGAATGAAGCCTCTGATTTTGCCTTCAACCGGTCTGTGTCTCATCTGGCTTTCTGGGAAGCTTGACACACCAGGCTCCAAACTCATAGTTCTTGCAGAAGCTGAAATCACATAACAGTTCCATATGTATCTTATGAAACAGAGCTAAAGTATCTTTAGAATAATACTTTGAATGCAGATCTTTTTGCCAAATGGTTTTACATAATTAAAGAGCATGACCCTACAAAAGTATGGTTAATATAAAAGTTTACAGACAATTAAAAACAAGATTAAGAATGATTACACTATGTAATAAAATTTGAAAAAAAATTAAATCCTGTTCCTGGTTTGAAAGTGTCATTTCCTGTTTTATTGTGCAGTCCTTACTTTGAAAGTAGTTTTTATGTTCCAGAAACTTCATTTTTGTGGAGGCCACAAACAATTTAATTGCTTGAGACTCAAGATACATGGGTTGAGTGAAAAGTAATGAATCCACCTTCGTAACTCCTCCACAGATGGCAGTACTGGTATGTGGCAGATACTGGCTTGTTCAGTAGACTCTCCTCTACTGTTCCATTTTGGCGGAAAGCCTTAGCATTGAACGGTTGTGTTGTTAAAGTGCAAAGTATGAAACCCTGCACAGACGGTTGGTCAACATGACTTAAGCAAAGTGCAGTCATTGAATTCTTGACAGCAGAAGGTCTCACCCCAAAGGAGGTTAATCAGAGAATGCAAGCTGTTTATGGTAATTGCATTGATGTGAGTACTGTGCGTCATTGGGCGAGTAAGTTTAAAGATGTTGAGGTGGGAACATCTGACTTGCATGACAAAGAGTTGGACGTCCTGTGACAGCAACCATCAAGTTTAACAAACAAAAGGTTGACAGATAGATTCAGGACGATTGTCGTATCACTCAGAGAGAAATTTCAAGCATAATCGGCATTTCACAGGAACGTGTGGGTCACATTATTGCTTTGCTTGGCTATCGGAAGATCTGTGCATGATGGGTACCAAGGATGCTGACACCTGAAATGAAAGCGCACAGACGTGAAATTTGCCAGAAACTCCTCTCACCTTTCTCCATTCAATTGTGACAGAAGACGAAATGTGGGTACACCATTATGACGCGGAGATGAAGCATCAGTCTATGGAATATCGACACAAAGACTCGCCCCAGAAAAAGAAATTCAAGACACAGCCCTCAGCTGGAAAAATCATGGCAACAGTGTTCTGGGATGCAGATGGTGTTATCCATGTTGATTTCCTTGAACGTGGAATAACAATAAATTCAGAACGTTACATCACAAAACTGCGAACTTTGAAATGACAGGTAACAAGGGTGCGAAAGGAAAAGGGAAATGTTTTCCTGAAGCATGACAATGCCAGACAATGCCAGACCACATGCCACCACAGCAGAACTTCAGAGACTGGATATCACCACTGTACGGCATCCTCCATACAATCCAGATTTAGCACCGTCTGACTTTCACCTGTTCCCAATAATGAAAGAAGATCTGCGGGGACATCATTATGTTTCTAATGAAGACGTTGAGAGAACTGTGAGACGCTGGTTGTGGAAACAGAGTGTCAGCTTCTTCCGTGACGGCTTCAGAAAACTTGTTAATTGTTGGCAGAATTGTATCCAATTGTCTGGCGATTATGTGGAAAAGTGAATAGTAGAATCATGGGAGCTGTATCCTTGTGGGAGTTGAAGTCCAAAACACCTGGCAGGCCCAAGTTTGCTCATGCCTTATCTACAGTGTATAATTAACACAGTTTGACACCACTTTAGTTGCCATGGCTGAAGGCTATGGAATCATAGGAGCTGTATTTTCACAAGGTCTTTAAACGTCTCTGCCAAAGAGTGCTAGTGCCTCACCAAACTACAACTCCCATGATTCCATAGCCTTGAACCATGGCAGTTAAAGTGGTTTTTTTTTTGTCGTGTCAGGAGCGACTTGAGAAACTACAAGTCGCTTCTGGTGTGAGAGAACTGGCTGTCTGCAAGGATGTTGCCCAGGGGACGCCGGATGTTTTGAGGGAGGCTTCTCTCATGTCCCCGAATTAGGAGGTGGAGCTGACAGAGGGAGCTCACCCGCGCTCTCCCTGCATTCGAACCTGCGACCTATCGGTCTTCAGTCCTGCCGGCACAGGGGTTTAACCCACTGCTCCACCGGGGGCTGTTAAAGTGGTACCAAACTGCATTAATTCTATAGGATAAAACCACATGTATCCATATTTTGCACGTGTTTTTATTTTGTAAACACACGAGAACTCTTCATTCCTTGCTGCAAGAATCTCAGCTGTTGTCTATAATTTCCTATCTCTACGTCGCTCTTAGAAGAGGCACTGGGAGGACTACAAAAGGAGGCAAAGACCCTCGATCTCAACAGTACGCATGCGCCTTGCCTCCGCTTGCCGGCTCTTTCTCTGCAGCGTCTCCCTCTTAAGGCTCTCGGATGAGTTTTCCGGAGGGAGGGGTGACTCCTGGATGTAATGGCGGCCAGTAACCCGGAAACGGCGCAGAAGCAAGTGAGTGCGGTGACGCGCCCCCCTCCCCCCGGGGCTTGCTTCAGAGTTAAAGGCAAGGGGAGGGCAAAGGATGGAAGTAGGGCAGGGCGCTCCCATCTGCAAGGTTTTATCACGCGTGGAAAGCGGAAGAAAGAGCCCAGCAGCAATTTGATAGCTGTCCCAAAACAGTATATTCATCTACACTGCAGAAATAATGCAGTTTGATACCACTTTTGAACAGCTATGCTTTAGTGCTATGGAATCCAGGGAGCTGTAGTTTGATGGGTCACCAGCTCTCTTTGCAGAGATGGCTTGTGAAACTACAACTCCCTCCCATGATCCCATAGAATCTAACCATGGCAGTTAAAGTGGAGCCAAACTTTGTTAATTCTGCAGTGTAGATGCACACCAGTTAGGTGGGAAATGAGCACCGTTGCATTTAATGCTGGTTGGATGCAAATATGCTCTGAAAAATAAAACAGCTTCTTGGCCCATCCAGTCCAACCCCAGATTACCATTGAGAAACACACAATCAAAACACCCCTGACAGATGGCCATCCAGCCTCTGCTTAAAAGCCTCCAGAGAAGGAGACATCGCTACCATTCGGGGACATGAGAGAAGCCTCCCAGAAGGATGGCAAACATCAAAACATCTGGGCGTCCCCCAGGGCAACGTCTCATGTTGCTCCTGGCACGGAAAAATTAAACTGCTTTGAACTTGAATATATGGCAGTGTGTACTCAGATAACAACAAAGATCCGCCTAGTCAAAGCCATGGTATTCCCTGTAGCAACCTACGGATGTGAGAGCTGGACCTTAGGGAAGGCTGAGCGAAGGAAGATAGATGCTTTTGAGCTGTGGTGTTGGAGGAAAGTTCTGAGAGTGCCTTGGACTGCGAGAAGATCCAACCAGTCCATTCTCCAGGAAATAAAGCCCGGCTGCTCATTGGAGGGAAAGATACTAGAGACAAAGTTGAAGTACTTTGGCCACATCATGAGGAGACAGCAAAGCCTAGAGAAGACAATTATGCTGGGGAAAGTGGAAGGCAAAAGGAAGAGGGGCTGACCAAGGGCAAGATGGATGGATGGCATCCTTGTAGTGACTGGACTGACCTTGAAGGAGCTGGGGGTGGTGACGGCCGACAGGGAGCTCTGGCGTGGGCTGGTCCGTGAGGTCACGAAGAGTCGGAGACGACTGAACGAATGAACAACAAACTCCAGATAACCCAGTTCAAAGCAGATATTGTGGGATTTTCTGCCTTGATATTCTGGTTTATATGGCTGTGTGGAAGGGTCCTACATAACATGATTTTTGTTCCAAGGTTATAAATGTCATTTCCTAATTGGCTCTATCATAGAAACACAGAAAAAGTTTTTTAAACTGCAAGAACTTTGTTTTTGCAGGACATCCTGTAACACATTTTCCTATAGTTTTTAATGAATATCTCATTGAGTCCTAACTAATTCAACGTAGTTTGAGACGGTCACAAAAATGAAGTTTCTAGGGTATAACAACTACTTTCCAAGTAAGTACCGCACAATTAAACTGGAAATAATAATCACTCCTTATTTTTCATTTATTTTGCTTAATAAGTCAACAAATAAGCATTGGTTCAGTGTCACTAAAACTCTAGTTGGGCCTAGAATCCATAGTTGATCCTGGCACCCACAAAAGCTGTCTCTTAGTAATACAGAAATGATAATTAATATATTTTAATGGGCTTTTAAAAACTGTTTTAAAGTAATGTTAATATTTATTTTGTCTTTTAAAAAATCTGTCTTAAGTAATATATTGGGAGAAATCTGAGATATAAAATAATCAAATAAACAGGATCAGTTGCTTTTGTGAACCTTATAGCTATCATCATCATCACCATATTTATACCCCATTTTCTCACAGTAACACCAGAGACACTCCAAGTGGCCAGCTTCTGGTTAAAGAAAATCTAGTATAATGCCAAGTTTTTAACTTTGTTTTTTAAAAATATATTATAACTGTACACTAAATTCACTTCTGATATCATAAGTTATATTATTATATATATTATATATGTATTATGGATCTAATAATAATAATACTAAAACTTTATTGATAGCCCATACTTGTTTCATTTTTTGGTCGTGTCAGGAGTGACTTGAGAAACTGCAAGTCGCTTCTGGTGTGAGAGAATTGGCCGTCTGCAAGGACGTTGCCCAGGGGACGCCCGGATGATTTTTGATGTTTTTATCATCCTTGTGGGAGGCTTCTCTCATGTCCCCGCATGAGGAGCTGGAGCTGATAGAGGGAGCTCATCCGCCTCTCCCTGGATTTGAACCTGTGACCTGTTGGTCTTCAGTCCTGCTGGCACAGGGGCAGGCCCGTAGCCAGGATTTCGTTTCGGGGGGGGGGGGGCTAAAAAAATTTCAGGGGGGGGTTTGCGGGGGGGGTGAGTTTCGGGGGGGGGCTGAGTCTGAGTGAAAGAGGGTCTACCCTAGCAAACCTTTTGTATCATTACCCCAATACCCCCATGCATATGGGATATATTGAGTATGGTGATCAGATCATGATATGAATAAACATAACAGTTTAAATAATGCACCAGTAAGGCCTTTTCGCGAACCACCATGAGATTTTTTTTTGGGGGGGGCTGAAGCCCCTTAAGGCCCCCCCCCCCCGGCTACATGCCTGCACAGGGTTTAACCCACTGTGCCACCAGGGGCTCCATACTTGTCTCATGATGTGGGTTGTAATTTAGCCATGCGAATGGTACTGGGCAAGTTGAAATATAAATTAACATCATTTTCTGCCAGACAGAAGAAATTGAAGCCTTGTCTGCTATATATGGCGATGAATGGTGTGCTGTTGATGAAGATGAGAAAATATTTTGCATTCGGGTCAGTGAATGCCTGGAAGAGCCAAAGTGGACTCTCTGTCTACAGGTAGGTTTGGTGTTACATAATCTGCCTTCAAGTCTGCAACAGGAGACTTCAGAAGAGAAGTTTGCAATGAATGCTATTTCATGAATTAAATCTTTGATAGGGTTATATGTAAGACCTTAAGATTTTAAGGTACGTATAACCTTGTCAAATATTTAATTCAGACTCGTGAAATCGCATGTTAAAATGTTAAGATTTTAAAATGTTAATTTTCTTTGGAAAATAAGATTATGTCCTTGATTCAAAACGTTGCACAACAAATTATCTGAATGCAGAGGAGTTTTTTTCACCTCTACTCCACACCTGAATAGTTTAAGAAGGAGCCTACTTTGACCCTACTCCATACCAAAATAGTTGAAAACCAACACAACCATAGACAGTCTATTGTGTGTTGGATCTTAGCCTATATCATGTATATAATTTTATAACCAGTCAGAACCTCCGTTTAGCATACCTAGACATTGTATGGAAGAACTAGCTGAACTGGAAATGCTGCAAAGTTTGTTACAATCTTCTTTAGGGAAAATGAATTTTAATAGTACCTTCCAGATAAACTCAAGTATGTTGTGTTCATAGGGATTTTTGGTCAACTCACTTTTGGTAAAACTCACTTTCATTATTAAAGAATAATGAGGTACAGATAACATTGTGTTTTCTGTATCTAAAAGGTAGGCGCCAAACTCTATTGCATTCTTGCAAGCAGTTTTCTACCGCAGTGAAGAGCAAAGATGTGTGTAATGGTTTCTATATGTATGGTAGGCCTTGCAGCCTTTTGCTTTCTTGCAGTAAGTCCTATTTTTACTTTGTCACTACTTCTGAAATATTCCCAAATGTCAAAAATAGTTTGACATGTAGCATACCAAAATATTGTTTTGAGCATTATACTCTGCCATGTCTGCAGAGTTTGCTATGCATCCCTTTAGATTGTAGGATATTTTATTTCTAGCCTTACAGATTTTACAAGTAACATTATTATTTACCAAATGATTAATTCTCAAACAAAACAATATATAGAGGGCCATGTGTGCTATTTACACAGTAGGATGTTTTAGGGTTGCCTAATGAATATACTACTTCTTCTTTGTATAATATTTTTCTTTTTTAAAATGTATGTTAATCTTGAGAAACTAATTCTGGGTTCCTGCTTCTCTGGCCAAAACCTGTCAGACCTCTGTAGTCGCTGGTTGTGCATCCACAGATTCAACTAACCACAATCTGAAAGTATTTGTGGGGAAAATCCAAGAAGCAAACCTTGATTTTTGTCTCATGCTGAATGCTACATTGATATGTAGGCATATTTTGCTTCATCCTCCCACTGTTTTGCAAAATTTTAAGCTTTCTGTCATCATTGTTTTAGCTATTCACCATTTTAGAAAAAGATACCATTTTGGCTATGCTACTGTGTATAACTGGATGTGAACCTCAACAGATTTTGGTATCTACTGTGGGTCCTGAAACCATACCCAGGATACCACTGGACCCACTGTACTACCAAAACCAGAAAGCCAGAACCACGTTCTAGAGCTGTTAGGTAAATTGATTGACATTTTAATTCTGTGCAAATGATGTTTTGTTCATTTTGTACCAATGTAATCTTCATTGTTTAATATATTTCATAATTGTTCTGTTCTACTTTTCCCCCCAATTGTGGGCTAACTTGTTTTTCTTTCAGGTGATCCTGCCACCTGAATATCCAACAGCTGCCCCACCTATTTATCAACTTAAGTACGTGGTAGTTCATTTCAGGAATATTTTCATGTATTTTCCTAGTTTCATCCCCTTATTCCATGATCATCGTGTGTCACTATTTAGCTATAATATAAGTAATGGAGAGGGGAATTAAGAAACATTCTGGCTGCAGCTTTCTGGACAATTTTACACGTCTACCCAGTGTCAAGAGCGTATTGTATTCTCTGAAATACATGCAATCTGTTTTGCATACACTGCAGATATGAAAGAGACCCATTGTGAGAGTGATGGGGATTATTGCCTTAAAAAACCCTTGGTTGCTGAATGAAAACATTGCTCCATGACAGTGTTTCTGCATGAAAAAGCGTGTCATAGTACAAATAGTTATCATATGCAATGTGCACCATAACTTTAAAGTTGTATAATCAGCTATCAAGAGATTTGTGCCAGTTCTGACTGGCACTGATATGATCTCCTTCCACATGATGCTCTGGTTTTCCAGATATGGCAATTGGCTGTGTTTGATTTTGGGGTTTATGGAAGAGATCATAAGGGAGGCTTGTGAGGTTTTCCGCCTTTTGACATTTGTTTGCTTCCAGCTGTTCAGTATCAAGTTTTGCTATGGAGAAATGGGAAGTACATGGCTAAGCTGTGTGAGTTCAGGCAGGAATAACAAATGAGGATGGGTCAAAAAGTTTTGCCTCCTCTCTGAAAGAATGTTTATGATTTGGCCCCTTTTGACTTTTACCTGTTTGGACCTCTGAAGGACAACCTACATGGTTTCAGATTCAGTGACTTGAATGACGTTAAAACAGCTTTAAAATCATGGACCTTGAAGCCAGACCCTGAATTTTTCCAAAATGATGTTGATGCTTGCATTAAATGATGGTGCAAATGTGTACAAATTGATGGTGACTATGTTGAATGGTAGTTTTGTGTAGAGGATAGTTCTGTAGCAACTTCTGCTGTTATATGTTCATTCATAACGTTTTTATGACACAGGAGGCAAAACTTTTTGACCCACTCTCTCATGTATATGTATATGTATATATAGCGCATAGAATCATAGAATAATAGAGTTGGTAGAGGCCATATGTGCTATCTAGTCCAACCCTCTGCCATTCAGGAAAAGCACATAGTATCCCTGACAGATGGCCATCCAGCCTCTATTTAAAAGCTTCCAAGGAAGGAGCTTTGGCTGGAGTTACACATAAAAATATACCTCTTCAGACTTACATACCAATTCAGCTTAAGAACAAACATACAGAACCTTTCTTGTTCATAACTTAGGGACTGCATGTACTTTGGTGATAGTAGAAATATTGTTACTACTTTAAACATAAGCAAGGTGCACAGGGTTTTGAGCCTTATTTTTAAGTGGATTCCTGCCCCCAAAAGTTCTCAGCAACCGGAGTTTAGCTTTAAAAGAAGGTGAATAGTCCCCTTGTGTTTTGATTATAGTAAATAACGGGTAATTCTCTTGATCCCCTGAAAGTTGCCCACCTTGGGTTCTATTAATTCAGCTCTGAACCCGACAGATTTTTATTTGGAAGAATTTAGCAAATCCTAAACCACAGGAAGGACAGATGAAACATGAAGTTCATACAAGGTCAATGCCAAAAAGTGCTGAAGATTAGAGCTCAAGACTCTTGACAACTTAACACTATTAGGAGCAGTTGTGTGTTTACAGCTTGCATGGCTGTATGCTTTGAGCCAAATACTGCTTTCCTATTTTTTTTTTCCAAGTAAGAATGCAATTGCCAGGTTCTGGTTTCTAGTACTGGTTTTTTTTGTCCATCTTTCTTGATGCTTTGAGCAGATTCAGCATATTTTTCCGTACTTGATATTTTGACTTCATTAATGTGCATATATGTTTTGGCCATGAAAATGCTTTCTAAAACTTGGAGTACTATTTTGGGAGATAAATAGACATAAATAGCTTCTGAAATGTTGCAAGGACTCTCCCAGTAATTTTCTTCTGGAAACAGGATGAACCATTTGGCAGAACATAATTTTTTGATGAAAGCTTTATAATGATTACTAATTGAAAAAGTGAGGAAGTGTGGAACCACGGTAAGTTCAAAAGCACAAAAAATCCTCTACAGTACTTTTTTGTATCTTCTAGTCTATTTCCCACATCTTTGCTGATAGGGATATCATCCTAACAGGAAAAGAGAAGGGGGAGTTAGGGTTGCTACAGGGTATTACTTTTCCAAAGGATCTATAATTTATCATCATAACTTGCTAATTTTACAGTGCTATCTCCTGTGCTCCTTCTCAAAAGTAAGTCCCATTGATTTCAGTGTGAGAAACTCCTCTTTAGTTGCATCATTAGTGTTAGTGTAAAGTTAGTGTAACATTTTTAGTTGTGTTGAAATTGTTTGTTTCTGCATGGCTGTGTTTGGAATAGATGGTCCTTTGAGGTCCCTTCCAATTTTATTATTCTAAGGGCCCTTCCACACAGCCCTATATCACAGAATATCAAGGCAGAAAATCCCACAAAAACTACTTTGAACTGGGATATATGGCAGTGTGGACTCAGATAACCCAGGGCCCTTCCACACAGCCCTTTATCCCAGAATATCAAGGCAGGAAATCCCACAGTTTCTGCTTTGAACTGGGTTATCTGAGTCCACACTCAGATAATGTTGGATTTTCTGCCTTGATATTCTGGGATATAGGGCTGAGTGGAAGGGCCCTAGGTCATAAACGTTTTAGGTATGGATATACTGTAAGTCATGTTGTGTTTTGTTTAAGAGGAAAGTGGGGAATATAAATAGATATATCATCATCATATGTTCATTTTTATTCTAGTGCTCCTTGGCTTCAAAGACAGGAATATGCAGAACTGGCAAATAATCTTGAAGATATCTATATGTAAGTGATACCTTTCTTTATACATTTTAAAAATCTAAATATAGGCTGCACATCACTTATCTGAAATGCTGGGGACCAGATTTCGGATCCCGCCCTCCCCCCCCCCCAATTTTGGGATACCTGTATTTGTGTATACATACATAATAAGGTATCTTGGAGATGGGACCCAGGTCTAAACATGGATTTCATTTATGCCCTATATCAGGGGTCCTCAAACTTTTTAAACAGAGGGCCAGGTCACAGTCCCTCAAACTGTTGGAGGGCCAGATTATAATTTGAAAAAAAAAAACATGAATGAATTCCTATGCACACTGCATATATCTTTTTTGTAGTGCAAAAATCACTTAAAAACAATACAATAATTAAAATGAACAATTTCAACAAATATAAAATTATTAGTATTTCAATGGGAAGTGTGGACCTACTTTTGGCTGATAAGATAGGATTGTTGTTGTTGTGTACTTTCAAGTCATTTCAGACTTAGGTTGACCCTGAGCAAGGGCCGGGGAAATGACCTTGGAGGGTTGTATCTGGCCCCCGAGCCATAGTTTGAGGACCCCTGCCCTATATACTCTTTATACACATAGCCTGAAGGTAATTTTATAGAATACTAGCCTGAAGACCCAGTGCTGCCCAGATTATCTGAGAAAGGCATTGTTTGTTTTTTGAAATTTGGTAATATCAGTGTTATATATAAACCCTTTTTCCTAGTTCCAACAGACCTCACTATCTCTGAGGATGCTTGCCATAGATGCAGGCGAAACGTCAGGAGAGAATGTCTCTAGACCATGGCCATATAGCCCAAAAAAACCTACAACAACCCTTGGTAATATCAGTTTGATAATGTCTAACATTATGTATTAGAGAAACCAGTCTTTCCTTTTGTTTTTATGAGTGCTCCCAATAGAAAATGTATAAGGATGTGGGTGAACTACAATTCCCAGAATCATGGGTCAATCCTTCCCAAACCATGCCATTATTCAAAGTTGGCCATGTTGGGTCTGTGTGTCAAGCATTGTAAAATGGGTGCTTCTGGTTTCCTTTTGTGTGGATTCCTCCTGCAGAAATCTGGGAAATGTATTTTAGGACAAGGCCTTTGTGATTCTCAGCCAGAGAGGTCCTTGGCGTTATTTTTAGAGCACAAGCTAGCATCCAGAGGGAGCCACTTTGGGCGTCTGCTAGTGAAATTTCCCACACACTTTTTCTGGCAACAAACCATTGTACTCCTTCTGGATGCCTCCTCTTTGTTATTTAGTGGTGGTAGTTTCATGTGACAAGGAAGACTGCATGATTCATTGGTTGCATGATGCTTTGAATGCTGCCCATATCTTAAAATCTGGACAGGTGCACTAGCTTCTTATGAGAAACAACTGAGATACATTATTCAGAAGGAAAAAAGTACTCAGCAGAATGTTGCTTTGTCCACAAGTAATTATAGGTATAATCCCACGAGATTGGCTTTACATTCAATTAAAAGTACTGATGCCGATGAGATTAAGTCTACATTTAAATCTACTTTAGTTTTCTCTTCTGGGATCTTAATTCAATTCGCTAAATCAATATGTAGTTTACAGCCTCAAACACCATAGCAATAATAGTTTTTGGAGCGTAGTTTTTGGTTGACAGCAAGGGGTTCTATCATTTAAACCAAATACTATTAATTCTTTGGATGGTGTAGATGAATAATCTACAATATGTTGGATTCAGTCCTTTCATGCCAGTTTCAGAAATAAGAGACACAAAACGTTTCCCTCCTGTTGACCTCTGTTTTTTTTTAAATTAACTACAGGCTGTTTTATCATCTTAGCCAAAACACTATTAATTTTAACAACAACAGTGACAACTATTATTGCTGTTAGTATTTGTATTAATATTGTTAATATTTATATTAATACTGTTATTAATATTTGTATTAACTGCTATAGTTATTAGTAGTTGTATTAATATTTGTTAACATTTGTATCAATACTGTTATTAATATTTGTATTAACTGCAATTGTTGTTAGTCGCTGTAGTAATATCACCACTGCTGTTTGCTTCATTTGTGTCCCACTCATCCTCAGAACCAGGACTCCTGGTGTCTTACGCTTTGAAACAGAAAATATTGATAAAACATATAAAATTATTATTATTATGTATTTTAATTATTAATAATGTTAGGAAAGACATACTTTCAAAATATGAATTAAGAAGAGTGCAGTAGTGTAGTAAAGTTCTTTCTTGAAAAACAAAAAAGAAGATTTTTCCAGCCAAATAAAGAATGGCAAGAAGGAGGCTGCAGTACCCTCCTTATAAATGGGGTTGTATGGTTTGTTTGAAACAGGCCAGCATGGAGGTTTCAGCCTGATTCCAAGACTTGTTGAGCAGAGTGGGACTTGCATCTAAGTAAACATATTTATGTATGTATTTATTTATTTACAGCATTTATATCCCACCTTTCTCACCCCAAAGGGGACTCAGAGTAGCCTTATAATAGGCAACAATTCAATGCCATAAAACATTGAACAAATATATAGTAAAATAAACTGATACATTAAAACATAAGATTAAAAAGCATAAAAACATTAAAATCAATTATTAGCAAGAACCATATAATCCAATATCTTAGTCAAGGAGCAGTTCCAGTCATGACTGCACATATTCCATCTTCCCTTATTGCACTGCATTGCTATCCAAAGGCTTGGTCCCACAACCATGTCTTCAGTTTCTTTCTGAAGGCTAGGAGGGAGGGAGCTGATTTAATTTCTCTGGGGAGAGAGTTACATAGCTGAGGGGCCACCACTGACAAGGACCTGTCCCTAGTCCCCACTGACTGCACCTGCGAAGGAGGTAGGATCGAGAGCAGGGCGTCCCCAGATCTTAACCTCCGAGATGGTTCCTAGAGGGAGATATGTTCAGCTCTCCACATTTGCTGGGGTTAGGGGCACACAAGTCCTGCAAAATTAAAAAACTGCAAATTAAAAAATTAATTTATTTACATTTGAGAGAACACCTCTCTAGGAGTATATAGTCTCTGGCATGGCTCTATGGCCAGCTTCTGGCTTAATTTGACCATAGATTTGATTTGGAGAGTTGTACCTAGAGAGAACAATTTAATCAAATCTGTGAATAATCAGGTCCACGGACGTAAAAGGGCCAAATGTGGAGGGTTGACTATACAGCATTACACTACTTGGTTACTTTTATCCAAAATTTCAAGAGCAAAATGGAGACCACTGTGTTTTTCTGAAACAAATTTGAATATATCATTTTTTTCAGACAGAATCTTGGTGAAAGCATCCTTTATTTGTGGGTGGAGAAGATACGGGAATTTCTAATAGAAAAATCGCAGTCCTCTGATTCAGGTAAATGTGGTAAACTTACGTTACTCTTTGACTAATTACTAAAATACATTGTCTAGTGGCAAATACACACTATTTAAGAAAGTGAAAGTACAGGTCAATTTCTGTGTGTTCTTGAAAGTCAAGTACTGTTTCGGTGGTACAGCAGCACAACTGTATGTTACTTGTGTGTAGTTTGGAAATTCAGCTACTCCATTAAAATTGCAGTTTATCATCTTGGCACAATATGTGAATGAGACTTTTCAGGTTGATTATTCATGTCCAACCCTTGGACATCACATTTAACGAGACTTGAAAAATGATGACTTAATGTTGATTCTGTGAGTCTACTCCAGTTGGGAATCACAATGGGATTTGTTCTATATTATAACATTCAAAATAAAAATTCAACTTTATTGAGTGGGCCATTTTGTTTGATCGCACATCCTAGATTTTGTTTGATTGCCAATTATCGCATCCCTCATTGGCTATACTTGCTGGGCTCATTGAAGTTTAGCAACATCTGGAGGGTTGTACGTTGACCACCCTGAGTTAGTTAATAAAAATGATAGGAATTAAATGTAATTAGCTGTACCATTTTTTTTTCTTTTTTAGCATTGCCCTTTATTGGTAGAGCTTCATATCCTGCAGAGAATGAGAGGCACACGGTTTGTTTTATCATTTCTAGAGCAGTGGTTAAAACCTATGGGTCTCCAGGTGTTTTGAACTACGACTCCCAGAAATCCCAGCCTGTTTACCAGCTGTTCTAGAGTGTTTCCTACATCTTTACTCTGGCTGTTTGTCAAGCTGTGTCCATATTCTGCAGCCTACTCTGCCATATTTTTGGGATAAGTTTGGATACTACGCAACAAGTGATCAGCCTGTAGTTAAAATGAGTGGAGAATCCTCAAAAATTAAAGAGAACATAAATTGACTTGTATCAGCATTAGGTGTTTTTGTGGCACATAAAATGGACCCATCTGATTGCTTTCTTCACTCTAACATTGATGGTTGTAGTAATTTTAGCATTAGGATTCAGAAAAGACCATTCAGACTGGAGGATTCTGGGAGCTGAAGTCCATAAAAGGAACATTTCCAAGCTTTTGTTTTGTGAGATGACTTGAATGTTGCTTTTCCCCAGATTTTCTGAGACACATACAGTTCATATAGAGCAGAGGCTCTCAACTTGTGGGTCCCCAGGTGTTTTGGCCTTCAACGCCCAGAAATCCTAACAGCTGGTAAACAGGCTGGGATTTCTGGGAGTTGTAGGCCAAAATACTGATATAGAGGAAAAAGCCCTGACACAAAGTTTGTATTTGGTTCTCTAGAAGTAATTTTTCAATTTTAGAATTCAGAGACCTAAACATATCTGGAATTATGAAGAAAGCCTCTTAAAGTAGTCTTTGCTTTTATACAATCAGGGCCAGATGTCAAAAAAAGTACTGAAGAAAATGATGTGGAGTATGAAGAATCTTCTTTGGATTATCAGCCTTACCAGGAATGTACAGCTTTAACACTGAATTTTGATCTACCTGAAAGGCAAGAAGGTGGAGTAACCTTAACTGATTTTATCATGTTTCAGTTCTTTCCAGTTTAATGAATAGAGCCAAATAGATTGCAAGCTGTTTTGTAGATATTATAAATTATGATTTATAAAGATATTATAAATCAGCTTCCCTCTATACGTTAGGCTTCTGAAAAATGGGTATTACAAAAATAAATAAAATTTGATGAATAGTGTAAATGTAAAGTAAAGGTAAAGGTTTCCCTTTGACATTAAGTCTAGTAATGTCTTGACTCTGGGGTGGTGGTGCTCCTCTCTATTTCTAAGCTGAAGAGATGGTGTTGTCTGTAGATACCTCCAAGGTCATGTGGCCAGCATGACTGCATGGAGCGCTGTTACCTTCCCGCCAAAGTGGTACCTATTGATCTACTCACATTTGCATGTTTTTTAAAATTAATTTTTATTAAGTTTTTACATGTATATATACATCAAACAAGTGGGGGGCGGGGGAGGGAAGGTAAAAGGGAAGTTAGGGAGGGAGGGAGAACGGAGTGAGCGGGGTTTAGGGTAGGGATGGAAAAAAGGTAAACAAAACAGCATAAAACGAAAAGCAAAAGAGGAAAGAAGAAAAAAAAAACCCCTTGTACTGCTTCCCAAAAGTCTTCCGAGAGTCTTCATCTCTTGGTTTCTTGTTATTTCTGCCGACAACGCTTCCTTTGATATCCTAATTCAGATGCTAGACAGATATATCTGTAACGGAACCTCCCTGGTTCTGATATAGTCTTTAAACCCTGACCAATTTGTCCTTTTAGGTGGACATTTGCATGTTTTTAAACTGTTTTTTATGGATCTTGTCCATACATTAGGCAAAAAAAAAACTGAGGGAAATTGTGCTCATAGGGAAACCCATGAGCATGGACCTTTATTGGAGCTGGAATCTTGATTGAATCAGGTTCCAGATTATATAAAAGTCTATGTACATACATAGAGATTAATGTGTTTGACTATTTGTCAGTTGTCCACTCGCTAATGTCTAAATTCTGTTGTCTTTACTTACAGTCACTATTCAACAATAAATTGAATGGGCCCACCGTAGTTTGGACTAACCAAAACAATGCCAGCCAAAATGTGGACTGGTGGTGACCCCATAGACCTGTTTACCCTTTAGAAGATCCTTCCACAAACCACATGAAGGGGTTAGAGTAGGAGTCCATTCTATATATAGAGAGAACAATTTGATAAATGATATGATGCAAGATGTGGGGCAAGGGGGTTGACCTTAGATGAGATTATGCTACATGCATAGAGCTAAAGCAGATCTAACCAGTAACTTGAATGGAGATATTGCCAGTACACTTAATGCTCTGTATATTAGAATATGATGTAGTTGATTCAGCATTGTATTTAAGATCCTAAGGAATTAGATTCTTTAGCCAGGACTGCTGTGATGCTCTCCTCTTCTTGCATACTGCAATGCCTCTCAAGTTTCCTAATTTCATTCATATCATAATTTGTTATTTCATTTGAACCAGCTACCTACATTTTACACTTTCCATGTAAAAGGATGAGTCCTTGGTGCCTTTAGGGAGCCATAGAGGTAGAAAAAAATGGAAATGGGTGGAAAATGTGATAAGGAATACACACAGGGGATGGCGCGAGAGATTAGTTTAGCAGAGGTTTTCTGAATCTGTTAGAGAAGTGGTATTAAAAGTCCACCAATGCACGAAATCTGAATTTTTCATATTTACAGGTGAAGAGTTACCTCCAATCTATCACGGAAAACCAATTACGGACAGAAGAAGCACTTTCCAGGCACATTTGGCACCAGTAGTGTGCCCAAAGCAGGTTAGTAAAACTCCATAGTGATTAGGTGATTCTGGAAACTATAGTTCCCTCATTAAAAATGACTTCCAAGCTCTAGGACAAAAGCATATATGCTCCCTAGTTGTTAACAACAACAATAACAACAACAACTTTATTTATATCCTGTCACCATCTCCGGAAAGGGACTCGGCTTACAAAAGCACATAATAGTGCTTACAAAAGCATATAATAGTGCTGCAAGAACATGCAAAATACAGTAAAATACATAAACATTTATAAAATAATAACAATATCAATTAACATAAAACAGATTACATAAAAAGCAGCTTACAAAAGCTCCTGTATATGCTGTTCTGTGATAAACTGCTTTAAAATTGGTGTAAGCATTATCTATTCCGGCTCTCCAAATTTATGTGGAACAAAACGGTTGTCTTGCAGCTTTAGTTCCAAGGCCTGTTTTTAACATTGGCCCATTTTGTTAACCCCAAAGGCTCACAGTGATTTCTTTAGACTAAGTTTGGAGGGAGAGAAGGGAGTTTTGGTTGATGTTTTTGGTTTGATTTAGCTAGAGAGGATTGTGGTATTTTAAATGTTATAAAAATAAAGCTGCTTTGGTATGTTTAACATCTATAGATAAAGTTTTTTATATATATCTTTGGCTTTTGGAAACGCTGTCTATCTAAAACAGACATGGGCAGACTTTTTTGTCTTGGGGCTGCATTGTGGTTCCATGCTGGATGGGACAGGTCCAGGTGGGGGTGGGCATGGGAAAGGGTAAGGCTGGGGGTCTGGGTCATCCTCAAGTTATCCTCTCAGCATAACGATGGCACCGCTTGCCCCATCCTTATGTTGGGAGGAAAACAAGACATGTCTGATCCTCCTCCCCTGATCTTTGGGCTGTCCTCTTGGTATTATGCCAGGAGGAGGGCAAGACAGGCGACGGTTGAGTGTGCTCCGGAGGGCTCTCAGCCACTATGTGCCTTCCTCAGGCCATCCTCTCAGCATAAGGGTGGGGTCACTTTCAACTCCCTAATGCTGGGAGGAGGGCCAGACATGCAGTGGCTGAGAGCGCTCCAGAGGGCTCTGAGCTGCTGCATGTCTTCCTTCTCTGTTCTTTCTGCATGAGGATGCGATGGGCCACTGCATCCTTATGCTGAAAGGACAGGAAAAATGAGGAGGGCCTGAGGTAAGCGCCCAAGGGGACGCATCCAGCCCCCGGGCCTTAGTTTGTCCATGCCTGATCTAAAAGGTATAATTCAGACAAAGTATCTGTGGCAGCAATGAAGACATACCACATTGTGCCAGGTCAGTCCCTTCAATTGGGGAGAGTAGAACAGTTATTTCTTTACAAATGAATTTCTGGGTAATTATATGCATGCTTTGTTGTTTATACTGCCCCCCCTTGGTGCTTTTCCCCTTTGGAAAGCGATATTGTGATTTGAAGGAAATGTTTTCAAAGCAGAATTCTCTTTGGAAATGCTATGAACTATTTTTGGGGGTATGCTATAGTAGTGGTTCTTTCTTCACCACAGTAAGTGAATTTGCTGTGAAATAATGGGAATACAGCAAAGATAAATATTGAAGATGTATTTTGATAACTCTAGAGAAAAGCCTCCCCCCTTCCTTCTTTTGAATTAAAAGCTATTTGCTTGCCAGGCATGTTTTCTCAAGCTCTCACAGCTTTAATAATGTTTTGCTTAAAGTGGTATTAATTATGCATTGTTTATTAAAACAGTTTCTTTATCGTGGCATTTTATCTAGTAGAAGGAAACACACACTCTTTGATAAGGATAGAAATACAGTTACTATATTTAAGGAGGAAAAAGGATAACTAATAAATTGTCATGTATTTTTTTTACTGAGTTCTTAGTGCCTGCAGTGCAGAAAATAGATTAAATGAGTAAAAGAGGCATTGAAGGAGTTTTGCTTATTTCTGGTGATTAACACATTAGATTGTGTAGCCTACTGGGCAGAAAAAAAAACATTTTAAAAAGAAAATAATCATGTTTATTTCATTTTCTTGTATGGTCATAGGAGATAAGGGCTAGCGTTAAATTCAGACTAGCTATGATACTTCAGCGTTCCAAGAGTGGCCGAGATCTTTGTGTGGCTGTTCCCTGTCCTGAGCCTTAGCCTACATTTTGTTTCCACTGCCATTAGTCATTTTACAGTTTTATCTTCTTCTCTCTATTTCTCCTTACTTTAACCATACGTAGATTTTTGTAGTGATGTACAGTAGAGTCTTGCTTATCCAACCTTTGCTCATCCAACATTCTGTATTATCCAACGCAATCTTCCTCCTGCCCAGATCCACAGCTGTTTCAATACATTGCGATGTTTTGGTGCTGTTTTCGTAAATAGATAACAATACTGTGTATTGAACTGCATTTTCTGTCAATTTGTTGTAAAACATGATGTTTTGGTGTTTAATTTGCAAAATCATAACGCAATTTGATGTTTAATAGGCTTTTCCTTAATCCCTCCTTATTATTCTACCTTGAAAGAGTCTACGGACAATGTCAGCTTTTCAGCTAAAAAATGGAGATGAGCACCACACCCCAGAGTTGGACATAACTGGACTTAATGCCAGGGGGAAACGCTTTGCCTTAATCCCTCCTTATTATTCAACATTTTTGCTTTTCTGTCGTTCTGCCAGCCCGTTTGTGTTGGATAAGCGAGATTCTACTGTATATGTTAGATTGCCTTTTCTCTGGGAGAGAAAAGGGAATCTAACATATACAACAAATTCCCCTTCCATCAGGACTTTCATACAATGACTGAAATCCAGTGTACCACAGCAGTTCTGTATGTAGAATTTCACTGCATTTGGTATTTCACCAACTCAGTGGTTAAACCACTGAGCTGCTGAACTTGCTGATCGAAAGGTTGGCAGTTCGAATCTGGAGAGTAGGGTGAGCTCCTGCTGTTAGCCCAGCTGCTGCCAACCTAGCAGTTTGAAAACATGCAAATATGAGTAGATCAATAGGTACTGCTTCTGCAGGAAGGTAATGGCACTCCATGCAGTCATGCTGGCCACATGACTTTGGAGGTGTCTATGGACAACGCTGGCTCTTTGGCTTAGAAATGGAGATGAGCACCCCACCCCCCAGGTTGGACACAACGAGACTTAATGCCAAATGGAAACTTTTACCTTTACCTTTCATGTTTATTTACCCCACTTTTTCTCTCCACAAGGATACTCAAAGTGGTCTCTGCAGTCCCTCCTGGCCTTTCGTTGACTGGTGAAAGTGGTGGAGGATTGGAGAAGCATCTGGGCATGTCTCTGTAGTCAGATGTGAAATTATTTTAGCTTCTACTGAAATTGTCCAGAGGTAATTTCATTTCATGCATGGCTACAGAGTGCCGCCAGATGCTCCTCACATCCTACACAATTCTCTCCAAGCATGGAGTCTCTATAGGAGGTTGTAGCAAATCTACAGTAGATTCAGGGTGTCAGTCAGGAAGGAGGAAGGAAAAAAAACAACCTCTACATAGACAAAAAGGGATGTTTGCCTGCATATGTCACTAACAGGATGCCAACCCATTATGTCCCACATCATCCATTTCCTCATATGGTGGGCTCTGGGGACTGGAGAAGGAAGGCTGAGTCAGGAAAGTTCTATCCAGTAAATGTTGTTCTGGTCATGCAGATAAATTTAGAATCCAGACCTAACTTTAGGGCCCATTTTTTGCCAGGTTGGGCTCCCAAAATAGTTAACAATTTAGCCATATAATGTTGATTGATGTATTTTCTGTCCTTTGGCAATTGGTAATTCAACCCAATCACTTGGCACTTGGTTGTATTGAATGAAAAAGGATGGGGAGAAAAGCAGTTCTTTTTTGCACATGAGGCCCCTGGTCTTTGTGGGCAATATCATTATGTCCTTGAATAGCACTATGCAACAAAAACTGAAAAATGTTCTGTTCATGATTTGAAAGTGTTATTTCCTGTTTTTCAAGACCTTTGAGTAGAGTTTACAAATCTTCATAGCTGGTTGATCTATTTTTTGTCTTCCAAGGTGAAAAATGTTCTTGCTGAGTTGTACAAGAATAAGAAAATAGCCAATGCTACTCACAACATTTATGCATACAGGTGAGTAGTCAGTTATAGCAGTAATCATTATGTAGTGATGAAAAAGGTGAAAGTTGGTTAAATTAGTTGATTCTGTTCCATCTCATGGGTCTGAACTGAGTGATTTTTTTTAACCACAGATTTTTGTTTTATAAACAACCATAATTAATTGAGGTGGCACAATGGGTTAAACCCTTGTGCCGGCAGGACTGCTGACTGAAAAGTCGGCAATTCGAATTTATGGGACGGTGTGAGCTCCAGTCTGTCAGTTCCAACTTCTCCTGCAGTGACGTGAGAGAAGCCTCCCACAGGGTGGTAAAACATCTGGGTGTCCCCTGGTCAAAGTCCTTGCAGATGGCCAATTCTCTCACACCAGAAGCCACTTGCAGTTTCTCAAGTCACTCCTGACACACACACACACACAACATAATTGAGGTATAGCTTGTAGGATTCAGCAAATGTGGAAAAATAACTGATATGTTTGCATTGGCATCTAAAATTTTTAAATAATTATTTTTAGGATATATTGTGAAGACAGGCAGACTTTCTTACAGGATTGTGAAGATGATGGTGAGACAGCTGCTGGTAGTCGTCTTCTTCATCTCATGCAGGTAAAATAAGCTAATTGGAAGATATTTGTTTTTAATAGATCCATACACATTACAACCTAATCTACAGGTTTCTGTTAATGGGTATAGAGAAAAACATTTTAAAATATTGCTGCCTTGAATGTTTTGACAATTTGGAATCAAGTGATGGGACAGAATATAGAAAATCTGGGAAAACATGGGAGTTTAGGGGGGCAGACTATGAGGGTAGAACTTCACAGATAGGGGAATACAAAATAAAGTGGTAACATTTATTTCTGGATCAATCCAAACATACTTTGTTGGAGATAACAACCTTCCCAATCCTCCTTTATTTGATGTTTATAATATGTCATTTTATTTCCTGAAGTGTACATCTTATTTGGTTTGCAGTTTCCTTAGCTCTATATACTTGAAGCAGTGGGAGGGTTGCAGATCCTGTGACTCTTTAGAATTTATTTTAGATGAATGACAGTTGAGGAATGACACTTAAGGCTTGAGTCAATTAGAATACAGAAGTCAGTGTTAGAAGTTAGAAGACAGTTAAGCCTTGAGTCAACTTGAATACAGAAGTCTGTTTTTTATTCAGATGTCAGTGTTAAAAGTTAGAAAACGGTTGAGGCTTGAGTTCCTTTGAAAGTAGACTCTTATGAAAGAGAACAATACAGAGCAATATAGTTTTTGAAGAGACTGTGAAAGACTGTAAGGTAAAGATACAAATTGAAATGTTTCAAAGTTTAACCTCACAAGAAATGTACCTGTATATCTAAATACATGAAGTTATGAGTAAACAATATGTTATTTTAAAAGAAGTCTGCTTGAATCTTTGTCTGCTGAGAGCATTGAATAGAAACAAGACATTTACGAGCCCAGCAATTATCCGTTACTCAATAAACTAAAGAAACACCTCCATAACTCTGCTACCTAGTGGGTTGTGATCCTAAGAGGTCATAATCCATAATCCCCAATAGGTTGTGATCCTAACAGGTCATCATCCTCATCCCAATAGGTTATGACCCTAACAGGTTATAATCTATTATCCCATTATGCTTTTCTCCTTCAGCATAATCATGAAGATGAGACCTAACTTTCAGATTTATATTTAACTTATTGCAGTTTACAGTTATATCTCAATCTTCTGGACAAACTGTTCTTATTTCAGCTGTAGTTTATGGAAACAATAATAATCTATGAAGTTATCTTACTTCAATTCGTGGCAGTGGTTGGTAAAAAAAAGGACAAAGCATGTTTGGATTGAGTTGACAAGGAGTAGTGCTTAAACCAGATGAGTAAGTCCCAGGCAGTGACAGCTGAAAGGTTAATATCTGTGTATTATTTTGTAGATCCTGGATGTCCATAATGTTTTAGTTGTGGTGTCCCGGTGGTATGGTGGTATTCTGCTAGGACCAGATCGTTTTAAACACATTAACAATTGTGCCAGGAATATACTTGTGGAGAAGAATTATGCTAATTCAGCGGTAAGCGTATCCTAACATAAAGGTATTAACAGTTTCATCTTGATAACATGCTTGCTTCTCCATGTGAAGCATCCGTACGGCAGAGATGAATTATACACATAACATCATTCGCCATTGGGTGGCCTTGGACAACCTTATTAAATGAAAACGTTTCAGTTTAGTGGGGAACAATACATAAAGATGATGAAGACATCATAATCTAAACTATTATACAACTGTATATTTATTCAGAATGCAGTTCAGGTGGCAGGGACATATAAACTTGAACAGAGTGTGAATTTTATTATTCCTTATGCACCAAGATGGGATATTTTATTTTATTTTTGTTTGAGAGAACTGGCCTTGCAGTGTAGGTATTCATATGCACTAGGATGTAAACTGTTACCTCAGTTTACATAGAAGACTTCAAAATGTCAAAAAAATAATAATGGATGGGCCTTTAAGTCCCAACCCATCTATTGCTTTTGGCCATTGGAATATTTTTTGTCTCTGCCAATGTAACATGCTGAGATGGAAAATGTCATACACACACACACACACACACACACATACATATATGTGTGTGTGTGTGTGCGTGCACGCGCGTGCGTATGTATTCCTGTTATTCAGGGAAATAATGTTTTTCTTCTTTGCCAGGGATTTATGAATTGTCTTTGGGGATGTTTAACCTTCTACAAGCCTCCTATACTAGTTATTAGTTATGTATATAATTCAGATTGCTTACTATATTGTATATGTGTGTATTGATATGCAGTTTTCCCTTAACTCTATGTTGATTGAGGTTGTGGGAGGGACTGCAGACCATGTGATCAGATCTGCTACTATTCAGACTGAGACACCATTTAGATGTCAGTTATATATTGTATAGTTAGTTGTGTTTAGGTTGTGTTCAGTTTGTATTAAGAGAGTATGCATTAGACATAAGACAGAGAAGAGACTGCATCAGAATGCCTTAGGGAACTTACTGTTTAACCTTTCAACTGATAAGCAATGTACCTTTATGCTGAATACATGAAGTTTTTAAGTAAACCAACTATGTTACTTTTAAATGAAGACTATTTATTTTTGTCTCTTGAGAGTATGAAATAGAAACAAGATATTTTATGGGACAATTGAAATAACACTTCTGAAAATCTGATACATATTTTGTGCAATGGCACTATCTTTGTTCCTAGCAGTTCAAAGAAATAACTAGGCATATCAGTCTAACAACTTAGAAACCTAATTTGCCTTACACGAATACTAGTGGATATATGCCACCAAAGAGAAGATTCACTCAAATGACTTTTTAGCTCTTCTCAGGAAGATCATTCTTTATAAAAGGGTTATGATCATTTCAAATGATGTGAATGCCAATTAATCTACAAAAAGTCATACATCCAAAAGATGGAGATTCTGGTTTTCCAAAAGGTTATAATCTCAAAGATCCCTCACTTTAAACTTACATGCATTACAGTTTTCAGTGGAGTCATAAAATACTCCCCCAAATCTGAATTTGGTGAGGGATGCATAAGGCTAACATTGAAACATTATTCAGAAAAGCAGGGAGCACAAAAATAATCAATTATGAAGTTATGCTTATTTAATTCTCCACCTTCTCTCTCTAGGAAAATTCATCAAAGCAGACAGGGAAGAATAAAAGGATAAGAAAAGACAAGAAGAAAATGGAACATTGATTCAATTTGGGAAATTGCACAGCCATGTTTTATCTTTTTCTCTTCGTGTATGCAGCCACTCACTGAAAGGAACTTTTGAAATTGTAAATGTGTTATCGCAAAGACATTGACATACTTTTCAGCAGCAAAAAATGCTTCAGATTAAGAAGATTCAACAGCAGAATCCTATTCACTTTCTTCAGCTGCTGAGTATGAGGTTTTAAACAACTGACTGTTCACATATACACGATTATTTAATTTGCATTTTAAAAGGAATAATTAAATGAAGACAGATATAATTTCACTATATTCTGGGAGTTTTTGATAATAAAAGGCAGTAAAAATCCATTGCACCAAGGAAGAATCTTGAATGTCCTTGAACTGAACCTTGAAATTCTGTCTTGATTGCCATTTTGGTTTCTCGTTCTCTTATCTGACGCTGATCTTAAGCTACATGCAGTTTTTCTCTATTGAAAACAATGGGATCTAAAAGTGCTTAATGCTGGTGATGCATGTTAAAATCTATTGTTTCCACAAAACACACAAATATGTCTTTTTGTGTTCTAGTTAATCTAATTCAAAGGCCACCCAGTTTGAAGCCATTGTCAGTACAGGTAAAATTCAGGGCCAGTATTTGGGATGTAAGATTCCTGTTACCAAAAGATAAGACTGGAGTTAATTTTTTTTCAAAACTCTTTACCTTCATTATGTAAGTTAGTTGCTTTTCTAATTTTAAAACATTTAAATCACGTTGAATGTGATTTTCCTGCTTCTTGGCAGGGGGTTGGACTGGATGGCCCACGAGTTCTCTTCCAACTCTATGATTCTATCTCTCTATGTAATAAAAATCATAACAGTAAATAAAGAACAACACTCAAAAACAGGGCAGCTCCAGACAAGAAACTATCAGGGATAGCTAATCACCTCTCAACTACAGATTCCCCCAGGCAGTAAGAAGCTACACCTTGAAACTGCTAGGCCATTAAATGCTAATCGAGGTGGCCAATTGAAACATTCATACCTACCTCCAACAGACAAGAGTTCTTTCTCCCACCGTGGACACTTCACACATATATAAACCCCATTTTCCTAGTTTCCAACAATCTCTGTGGATGCCTGCCATAGATGCAGATGAAACGTCAGGAGAGAAGGCTTCTGGAACATGGCCATGCAGCCCAAAAAACTTACAAAAACCCAGTGATTCCGTCCATGAAAGCCTTCTACAYACAATAAAATTCAACAATAAAATTAAACAATAAAATTTGTGGTGGRGGATTTCTAAGGCATCTCCAACTTCCAGAGAGCACTGTGACCCCCACCGATGACCGATCTTGACCAAACTTGGCACACACACACTCCATGACCAACAGAAAATACTGGATTAGTTGTGGGGGGGGGGTTGACTTCAGAATCTGGGACTTATCGTTCACCCACATCAAGAGAGCATTCTGTGCCCAACCAGTGATGGAGCTGGACCAAACCTGGCATGCATACTGGCATGCCCAGCTTTGAAGACTGGTGGGGTTTAACCTTAGGGGTTGGGAATTGTAGTTCACCCACATCCAGAGAGTACTGAGAGCCTAAATGACAACCGATCCGGACAACATGGCACGCACCCAACATGCCCAACTGTAATGATAACAAAAATGTATAGTTTGAGTGAGATTGTATGAAATGTACGAATGCGGTTTAATTGGGCTGAAGATGCCATTCTAAAGAATGAGGCCTGGAGACCTGCAAGAAACAGGTGCAGAACTCATGGACTGTAATTAAAAATTGCTAATGAGACTTGAAACAAATGATTAACTGTTGACATTGCTGACTTGATGAACTCTTGGTGGAAAAACAACTTGTTTACATTGCCAAAGTCAATGGTTCTTTTAAGTAAGGAAGTCAACTCTGTGGCTCCTTACAGAAATGTTTACAGGGCTCCTTGATAAGGAAAGCCAAATAAAATCAACATCTGTCCAAGAACTGAGGGAATCTGTTAGTAATTTACAACTTTCAGAACCACATCAACAGAAAATACTACATAAAAGGACCCTTCTCTCTCAGAAAGAGTGTTAGACCAACTGAACCCCATTTCTGAACATCATGAACAGCTGCCTCCTCTCAAGAAGCTGATCATCTTCAACAAGAAGAATGGTAAGAATGCTTGATGAATGAATGATGAATGAATGATTGAATGCTGGAGTATATGTGTAAATGTTGATGCATTTTCCCCCTTTTTCTATGCAACCATATAATTATTATAAAACCCAGTACTGGAGTCTGTATCTACTTCTTTCTCTTAAAGTGCCTAATGCAACCTGTCTCTCTGAAAGCGGAATAAAAGAACCTATTTAATGTTTTTAAAAGTACTTATGAATACTGGTGGGGTTTGGCGGGAGCTGATCTTGAATTTAGGGAGCTGTAGTTCAGCCACATCCAGAGAGCACTGTGAACCAAACAGACAATGGATCTTGACCAAACCTGGCACACAGACCCAACATGCCCAACTTTGAATACTGGTGTGGTTGGAACAATGCCAGATGATGATGGAAATTGTAGTTTACCCATATTCCAATGTATTTCAACAGATCCATTCTTAAAATCCAAAACAACCATGAATACTTTTTATGTTTATTGCTGCAAAGGACGTAATCCGGGCATCACCAGGTACGTAAGCTAGTAACATTAATAAAAGCCACCAGATTCCTTCCAAATTATATCCAACTCATAATATCCTTGGCTACTACTTTGGTGCGCTTTTACTGTGAGGTCTAAGGAGATCTTCACATATTTTCTATTTCGAAAGAGATCTAGGTGTAAATTCATGAAAAGAAGGACAAAGGCAACAAGTTTTGTATCACTAATTTTTTCCTAGTGTCCAAAATGGTAAAATATTGTTAGGATGAAGTGTGTGTATTTGCCATAAAATGCTGGTTAGCAAATGGAAAAGATCATTTCACAGCCTTTTCACTACTCCTGCAATATATTTAAATATATTTCGAATTGAAACGTAACTGTATGGCATTTTAATGCCTTTAAGAAGTCTTTGAGAAGTAATAATTGTTTTTCTTCTCATGGAATCTGGGTTTTCCAAACTGATTCTGACATTGTCATACTAGAGCCTGACACGATTTCGTGTGCATGTTTAATTGTGGATCGTCAAATATCTGAATGTATTACTATTTTTGTTTTGTTATTTCTGACTCATTTCTGCCAAGTGTCATAAGTGCCATCTAGTAAATGAAGGGTTTTTAGTGCTTTCTTAATTTATCACTTTTTTGCCAAAATCAGGAAAAGGCACTCTTAATTTCAATTAACTGAAAGTGTATAAAACTACCTCTGACAGCTTCATTTACAAATGCATTAACATTTCTTTGATTTTTTTTCTTGGTTGAATGGAGTTGAATACTCTTTTAGTATTTCCTGTATGACTCAAAAGATGACGAGCAAGATCACCGTTTGGAAGACTAGAATAGATGTAAGATATGGACGTACCATGAAAGGGAGACTTATTAACAATGAGAATGAACTACAGAACCAAGTAAAGCATAAACTTATGTAATAGGTTTGGGAAACAACAAATGGATAACAAATGTGGGCTGGGCTTAGCAGGGGGCCAGTCTTAGCACAGCGGGCTAAACCCCTAAGCTGCAGAAAATCCTGCCAATTGAATGATTGGCCGTTCAATCCCAGCTTGGGGTGAGCACCTGACCATCAGCCCCAGCTTCTGCCCAACTACCAGATCGAAAACAGAAACGTGAGTAGATAAATAGGTACTGTTTTAAGCAGGGAGGTAATAAAGGGACCCATAAGGACATTGGGAGAACGTCAACGGATGACAAAAAGTTCCTCAACATGGAAGATGGAGTGACAACCCCCCTGGTGGCCGAAGTCAAACACAGCCTCCAGATGTTGGAAATGGAAAAAGATGAGAAAAGCCTTTACCCTCAGTTTATGTATTATCTGTCTTGTTAATTATATAACAGCAATGAATGTTTGCCATATATGTATTCTGTAATCCGGGAGATAGAGTGGAATATAAATAAAGTATATCATTATCATTATTATTATTATTATTATTATTATTATTATTATTATTAGCATTTTGAGTTATTTTAGTTTTTCATTAGAGGATCACAGATTTGCCTAGTGTCTTTTATGATTTCTCAGAGAAGTAAAATATGCTCTCTCTTGCTTTTTTAATGTCATTATAATATCCCGCAAATAACTAGCTACATATTTATTTTTATTATGTTTACATTTTTCTCTCTCCCAATTTCAGATTGTACTTCTCTTTTTTGAAATTAATTTGTAAGTACTTGGGGGCTGTGTGTGTGTATGTGTGTACACACACACATACACTGTCTTATTTTTCCAAATTACTTCTTTTAAATATTTGCTCTTCCCACAATGAATTCTACTGATAGTAAACAGCAAATGTGTCATAAAATACTAAAAGAACAAAATGAGGTCACAATTGAAATATGTAAACCTGCATATGCATATATAAAATCTATTTAAATGAGAAAATATTCCCTTGAGACACCCCCAAAACATGATTTTCCTATAAAATAATAGGCAATGTGCACCTTACATTTGTTGGGAATTTTTCTGTGTACATTTTTCCCATGCCTTAGTTACATCTAGACTGGATTATTGCAATGCACTTTACATGGGGCTACCTATGAAGACAGCTTGGAAACTGCAGCTGGTGCAAAGATCGGCAGCCAAGCCCCTACAAAAGCAGCTCCATTTACTGCAAATAAGTTTCCAGTCCCAATTCAAAGTGCAGGTTATTACCTATAAAGCCCTGAATGGCCTACCTGTCTTCATGACCACATCCCCTGCCCCCATAAACCAGCAGGGACTCTTAAGATTTGCCGGGGAGGCCCTCCTCTCTGTGCCACCACCGTCACAAGCTCGGTTTGTGGGGACAAGGAAGAGGGCCTTCTCAGTGGTGTCCCCCCAACTTTGGAACACCCTTCCCGGGGAGATTAGGCAGGCCCCCACACTGTCCTTTCGTAGGGACTTGAAGACATGGCTATTTAAATAAGATTTTGGGGACACCTAGTCCCTAGTTGGTCTGCGTAACAGTCATGCAGCCTGCACTTTATCCCAGGTCCTCTCTCCATTGTTACAGCTCTGTACTTATCCCATTCCCTTGTCCTATTGTTTACAGCCTGGTCATGTTTACAGCAGCTTATCACCATTGGTTGTTGAGCACAATTTTATTGAGTTTTGGTTGATGTTTTATATGCATATGTGTTTTACTTATTGCACTTTATACTGTGTGTATTTTATGTTCTGTTTTTAGGCACTTTATGACATGTGTTAGCTGCCCCAAGTCCCTTCGGGGAGATGGTAGTGGGATATAATAATAATAATAATAATAATAATAATAATAATAATAATTTGAAAGGAAGAGTTGACTAACCTGCAGTGGATTGAGGCATAAGTAGAGAATGGCTCCTGGACCCTCCAACACTGTCCATCCTTGTATTATCTATCATTTCACTGTCTAGCTATCTTTATAACTGTGAGCAATTCATTAACATTGAACACAAAATGTAATGAATTAAAAAGAAAACAATGATTGGAAAGTACTGTTTATTTCCTAATCATCAGAACTCCAGCTTCCAGCATTCCTCAAAGTTAGAATAAAAAAAATGCAGGACTGAAATTTAATTTTGAAAGGAAGAGGGTATATCAACAATTAAACTTGGGTGTAGCTTTCACAGGGTTTCAGGAATCACCCTTTAGAAATCTGATTCCAAATCAACAGCTTTTTTGTCTCATGTAAGGCTTTGCTTGTTCTACTTTGCTGCATGCATATTTATGATTATAAGAAATATTGCAAGGACCTCATAAATGTATTGTCGAAGGCTTTCATGGCTGGAATCACTCAGTTCTTGTGGGTTTTTTTGGGCTATATGGCCATGTTCTAGAGGCATTTCTCCTGACGTTTCGCCTGCATCTATGGCAAGCATCCTCAGAGGTGAGGTCTGCTGGAACTGGGAAAAAAGGGGTTTATATATCTGTGGAATGACCAGGGTGAGACAAAGGGCTTTTGTAAGTTGGGCTAGGTATGAATCTTTCAACTGACCACCTTGATTAGCATACAATGGGATGAGTGCCTGGAGCAATCTTTTGTTGAGAGGTGATTAGATGTCCCTGATTGTTTTCCCTGCTGTTTTGCTGTTTTAATTTTAGAGGTTTTTTTAAATACTGGTAGCCAGATTTTGTTCATTTTCATGGTTTCCTCCTTTCTGTTGAAATTGTCCACATGCTTGTGGATTTCAATGGCTTCTCTGTGTAGTCTGACATGGTGGTTGTGAGAGTGGTCCAGCATTTGTGTTCTCAAATAAAATGCTGTGTCCAGGTTGGTTCATCAGGTGCTCTGCTATGGCTGATTTCTCTGGTTGAAGTAGTCTGCAGTGCCTTTCATGTTCCTTGATTCTTGTTTGGGCGCTGCGTTTGGTGGTCCCTATGTAGACTTGTTCACCGCTGCATGGTATACGGTAGACTCCTGCAGAGGTGAGAGGATCCCTCTTGTCCTTTGCTGAACGTAGCATTTGTTGGATTTTCTTGGTGGGTTTGTAGATTGTTTGTATGTTGTGTTTCCTCATCAGCTTCCCTATGCGGTCAGTGGTTCCCTTGATGTATGGCAGGAACACTTTTCCTCTGGGTGGATCTTCATCTTTACTCTCATGGCTTGTTCTTGGTCTTGCAGCTCTTCTGATGTCTGAGGTGGAGTATCCATTGGCCTGTAGAGCCCAGTTGAGGTGGTTCAGTTCATCTTGGAGGAGGTGGGGTTCACAGATTCTTTTTGCACGGTCTGCCAAGGCTTTAATGGTGCTTCTTTTTTGACTTGGGTGATGGTTGGAGTTTTTATGTAGATATCTATCTGTGTGTGTGGGTTTTCTGTAAACGGTGTGACCCAATTGTTGATCTGGTTTGCGGATGACTAGGACATCTAGAAAAGGCAGTCTTCCTTCATTTTCTTTTTCCATGGTGAACTGGATGTTTGGGTGGATGCTGTTAAGATGGTCCAGGAACCTGTTGAGTTCTTCTTCTCCATGGCTCCAAATGGTGAAAGTGTCATCCACATATCTGAACCATATAGTGGGCTTTTTGGTTGCTGTTTCAAGAGCTTGTTTTTCAAAGTGTTCCATGTAGAAGTTAGCTATGACTGGGCTGAGAGGGCTCCCCATAGCTACTCCATCTTTCTGTTCGTAGAATTCATTGTCCCACTGAAAATAGCTGGTGGTGAGGCAATGGTGAAACAGCGCCGTGATGTCTTCTGGGAACCTCTGGTTGATGAGTGCCATGGTGTCTGCAACTGGGACCATGGTAAATAGAGACACCACAT